AGCAAATAATCTGAGAAGCTGGATTATATGAAGAAGAATGTGGCATCAAGATTGAAGGAAGACTCATTAACAACCTGCGATATGCAGATGACACAACCTTGCTTGCTGAAAGCAAACAGGACTTTAGAATACTTACTGATGAAGATCAAAGATCAGTCTTCAGTATGGGTTGCAATTCAGTGTGAAAAAACCCCCCACAAAAATCCTCAAAACTGGACCAGTAAATAACATTATGCTAACTGGAGAAAAGTTTGAAGTTGTTGATGACTTGATTTTGCTTGAATGGACAATCAACACTCATGGACATAGCAGTCAAGATATCAAACAATGTATCACATTAGGCAGATCTTATGTACAAGACCTCTTAAAGTGTTCAAGAACAAAGATATCAGTTTGAGGACTAAGGACCTCACCCAAGCCGTGATATTTTCAATAGCCTCATATGCATGTGAAAGCTGGACAATGAACAAGGAATAAGTTAGTAGAATTCTTCAGGTTCATCATCACTGGCTTTATTGTTTCATGCAAATCTTTGAGTAATGGTGGTATTAACTGATATTCCTTATGTTAACCTAGCATAGACAGCAAAGATCTTGAAATGTTCTTTTTCATGATGAATGTGATAGCATTCCTCTTTAATTTGATGTTTTGGCATAGTAAGCCATATTCTAAATGGCCAATACCAGTTCATTTCAGCTCACTACTGTTTCGGATATTGATCTTTATTTCATTTTGATGACTTCCAATTTTCTTGACTTCGTACTTTGTTCACTACACATACCAATTAGTAATGGATGTTTGCAGCTGTTTCTTTCCATTTTGATTTTTGCCATATTAGCAAATGAAAGTCTCAAAAACTTTGCTTCATCATATCATTAAAGTCAACTCTGCTCTGAGAACATGGCTGTTTCCCAGTCAAATTTTGAGTGCTTCCCAAAGTGAAGGGCTCTTTTGCTTGCACTGTATCAGTAAATGTTTCATTGCTTTTTACAAGGTTTTCAGTGGCTAACTATTCAAAAGTAGTCCTTCTCTCCTTCATTTCTGTCTTTATCCAGAAATTTTACTGAAACTGTCTACCTTGGGTGACTCTGCTGGTATACCATTGGCATAGCCTCCAGTATTACAGAAACACATAAGCTACCACAGTAAGACAAAGTGACAGGCATAACTTATACAGAAAGTAATATTAAATATTATGTTGTTGTTGTTGTTGTTAGGTGCCATTGAGTCAGTACCAACCCATAGTGACCTTATGCACAGCAGACTGAAACACTGCTCAATCCTGGGCCAACCTCACTACTATTGCCACACTTGAGTCCATTGATGCTGCCACTTAACCAATCCATCTCGTTGGGGGGTCTTTCTCTTTTTCTCTGACCCTCCACCTTATTAACTATTATAGATACCTGTATTTTATACCCTGACTATATACCAATGGACTCTTAAAAGCCTTATTTTTGATTTCTCATTATACTGTAAATCATCTGTTGAAAAGAAAGTATATCAATCCACCTATTCAATCCCTAATGAATATCAGAATGATGTTTTGTTTTCATTAACCGATTCACATTTTTCCTGGAATACCAAGAATCTCCTGGATCAATAAATAAAGCTGATCTTTTCAAATTAGATTATACTTCCCTTAGTGATTATGGGTAAATAAATGGTTTAAGTCAATAGAAAATGTGAATTTGTCTCTATTTTTTTAGTAAATTGAATTCCATGAATCTAAATTATTTATGAACTGACTCCATGGCACATAACAACAGCAACAAATTACTTATGTTAGCTGTTACATAGTCTAGTATGTCTAGTATATTTTTTACTTATCTGTTACAGTTTATATATATGTATATACACACACACATACACACACTTTGACATGATGGTTAGTAGTCCAGTGCTTATCCTTTAGTGCCACACCAGGACTCTGTATACATAAACGCTGTTAAATCTCATATTTGGTGCTTACATATGGAGAAATTTATTTATCCATGGTTATATGGCTTAGGGCTTTTTTTTCTTTCCTTCAATTTCCCATTTTCACTTTCATTTAATTTCCTTAATATGTCTTATGGTGGCTGAATTTTATATAAAATACGTGTTTTCCTTTGTGCTATCCTACTTCTATAAATGTGTTATTTTTTTTACCTTCTTAGAAAAAGGCACTATCATCCATTGAGTGTATCAGAACAGCATAAGAGTTATGAAAGGACCTTATTGGATCAAAGTAAAGACATTCAAAGGATATTTAATGAGTGATTAAATCGTCTTAACACTTGGCTACCAGGCTGTAGTAACTTTCTAGAAATTAAATGGGAAACTATGATATCCTTCAAAGGACTCTGTTACTCTTTAAGTATTATTTGTAAGGGTGCATGTCCAAGGTTCCTTCTCAATTATTTTTCTACACAGTTGTAGTAAAAAGTAAAATAAAGACTGGATTTTTGCCTATGCAGGTGAATTTATAATTGTTTTCACAACTTGACCTAGATGTTTCTAATATGTTCAGAGAAGGGCTAAAGAGAGATTTTGGGTGATATGTCATTAGTTTTCTTCCTTGAAAGTGGTTGAAAGCAAAATTTAGTTCTACTAAACCTGGATTTGACGGGGCTTTGTCAATTACTAGTTGTGAATCTTTGACAATTACTTAAGTCTTAACTATTCTCCACTTTGAACTGGAAATGTTCCTGCCATTTAAGCTTATTGTGAGGATTAAATAAAACTATGTTCTGCTTTAAACATAACACTGCTCAAAATAGTTCTTGGCATGTTCCTAAACACACAGTAGTTACTTTTACCCAAATGAAAAATAAGTGGTTAGGATGACCATTATGTATGAGACACAGCTCCAGGTTTTGGAAAGTTGGCACAGAAAACAACCACAAACATTCTTGCCTTCATGGAGTTTATATTCCAGTGATTAGCATCTGAGCAAGCACTTCCCTGAACGCCAGGGCACCTTATTTGACAGTATAACAATACTAGATAAGTTGATAACTTTGAAAAATAAAATGATTATGCTTGTGAACACTACAGTGTTGTTAAGATACATAATTCATATATTTTCCTGCATTAAAAAATTTCCGGTCAAGCTTTGGTGAGCTGAAGTGAGCTGTATGTAACACTGCTGCAACACTGCTGTAACTCTGCTGTAACACTACTCTGCCAGCCACCGCTGGACCCTAGCATGCTAGCTTGAATAAAAAGCCCGCATGTCTTTGCATTAAAAAAAAAAAAAAAAAAAAAAAAATTCAAAGCTTTAGTTTTCTTTTTTCTAAAATTTAAAAGTGTTATATATGCTGTTATTTGCAATGTTTTAGAAAATTTTTGTAAGTATAAAAATTAAATGTCAATGTAAGTTTAAATTTCTGCAGGATTTTCTGATCAAAGCAATTACAAAAAATGTGTATACCAACCATGCTATGCTTCGTGGTTCTGAGCATAAAATCTTAAAAGAAAAAATTCTGAGCTTCTTCATATTCTTATTTCTCTTGAGGACAAAGAGTTCTGTTTTGTTCTCAAAATAGTAAAATTAATAAAATTTTTAACAGCACAGAGTTAATCTGGGGGAAAAAAAATCAAATAACCACAAATTCCCTTTACTACTTGTCACTCAGTCTGTGTCCTAGGAATCCATAATCTCCTCTAGGGGAATCTCTGATAGGAGTTTAATAAGTACACTTCCAGATGGTTTTCTGCATATTTACACAGAAACACAGACTTCTTAAAAAAGTTTTTTTAAAGTTATTCAGCCTCTGTTTTTTAATGCTTTGGAGACATTTCCCTGTCATGTTAAATGTATTATATAATACTCCAATGATTTATTTAAAATATTCCCTTATTGATGTACATTTAAGATTTTTAGGGAGTTCATGGTTACAAACAGTGCTGAACTGAATACACTTGAGCATCCTTGGACATACACACTTATGCTCATCTGTAATTATTTCAGAGTAACTACATAAGTAAATTTCTGGGTCAGAAAGTATATTCACCATGAATTTTGATGGATATTATTAATTTTCCCTCTAAAATGAAAAGAAGAATTTATACATATACCAACAGTGTGTAACAATGCCTTTTTGTCTCATTCCAAATCAATACTTGCCATCAACAATATTTGATTGATTGCCATTCAACTGCATTTGGGAAACCTCTGTTCTATAGAATTTTTCTTACATAGACTTTTCTGTCTTTGGGTTTGGGGAAGATATAATATTTTGTCCTTGATTTTTCTAGAGCCTCTGCGCTCTAACTGAAGCAGTGAACCTTGAAAATAGGTTTCTGGAGCAATGAAAATAGAATATGTGTTTTTAGCAGTTTAGGCGATATATTTACATTTCTGTGTTTCTGGGTATTCCATTTGAAGATAATTGTTTGGGAGAAACAGTTCACCGAGTTCAGTGATGATCTGAATAAAATGGCCACTCCTGTGAACCAGGAACTTTTATAATGGGTCAGTCACATAGAAAATAGTCTTTTTTGAAAAGGATCCTATTTTATATGCATAAGTGAACATTTGTGTGGTCACAGGTATTTGTATCTCTTTCCTTAAGTTCCATTTCAAAACCAAAATTACCAAGTATTAAAATTCAAGGAATGTATTCTTGGGTAAAAAGTTTACTGTTTACCAGCTGTGTATAACTTACCTGATTATTCTTACTTAACAGTTGTGTACCTCTCTGGAGCATGCAACTGGGTCCTGGTGGTGCAGTGATTAAAACACAAAGCTACTAGCAAAAAAAAGTTGGTGGTTCAAACCCACCAGCTGCTCTGAGGGAAAAACAAGTGGTAGTCTGCTTCTGTACAGATTATACCCTGAAAACCTTATGAAATAGTATAGCTCTGTCCTAGAGTGTCTCTATGAGTTGAAATAAACTCCATACCTTTGGGCCTCTTTGTTTGATTTTTTTCCCTTGGAGCATATAGTCTTATATTAACTATTTTCCTATCCTGTAGTTTAAAATGATAATCTAACTTGATTATATTCTTTCTAGGAAATATCTGTATGTTACATCTTCTTTTAAAGGAACATTTAAAAATCAAGTTAAAAAAGCAGAAGAAGCCGTGAAGATTGGTATGTGGATGCTGATACGGCACATCACCTTTATAGTGTTTATTCATTCAGCCAACATTAAATGAGCACTTGTACAGAGCTATGAACCACTTCAGGCATTGTAGAAACTAGCTCAATTAATCAGGCAGAGTTCCTGTCTCTAAAGAACTTCCTAACACATTCTTTGCATCACTTGTTTTGCTATTTGTTATTATGCAGATAATATGATCCAGTACACACTCAGAGATTAATATTGATTTGAAAACCTGACAATCATGATGATAAGCTAGTCATGACAAAATTAGAGTTTCCTCCAGTGTAGGATGGAATATTCTACACTTTCACTCTTCCCATGGCAGGGGCTATGCCATCTTTACTTAGTGACTCAGGAGTGAGCCTACATTTCACAGATTTTAGAATTTTCAGTCATATGAAAGTCAACTCATGATTTTTGAATTTGTATAAATGTATTTAATCTACACATGATTATGCAGAAGAGTAGCCCAGCTATCTAGACTTAGAGTTCTATGAAAGAAGCATAGAATTTCTGGTATAATGGTTTATTTGCCATTTGAACTGGTTATGGTTATAGTCATGGAAAATACTCACTTAAAATTGCTTGAAAGAATCTCACTGTTATAACTATCTTGTTTCTACTTTCAGCTGAACATATATTGAAAGAAACCCAAATCAAAGTCAACAAACTGAACAGAACTTCTTTGTCTTCTCCTGCCAAGGTACAATGTAATCATTTAAAATGGCAAACATTGTCATTTGCTTTTTTTCTGTACATCATTGTGCCTTAAAACATACTTCCTAAACTTCTAACTACAGATGAGCTCAGAATGTCAAGTTGATTTTGTTGTTGTTGTTGTTGTTAAGTACCGTGGAGTTGGTCCTGACTCATAGTGACCCTGCACAGGGTTTCCGAGGCTGTAAATCTTTACAGGAGCAGAAAACTTCATGTTTCTCCCACGGAACAATTGGTAAGGTAAATTGATAGATGAGTGCAGAGAAAATAGGGACACTCAACATATTGGGAGGAGACTGAGCAAAGATGAACAGAACATAATGTGCGATTGGAACAGTGGAGAAGAGCGTCACAACTAATTTTCTTGAAATGAAAAGAAAAGTAGTATGAGAAAAGGAGAAAATAATGAAATACTAATAGGAAAAACCAGACATCAAATTTCCTTGAGAATATCTGTTCAAATTATAGCTCTCCATATACCCAGATAACCATAAAAACAAAAAGAGGACTATTAAGTAATCCTTCTTTCTAGTGCTAGGAATTATATGCTATAATTTTGAATATTAATAGAGCTTCCAGCTTACAAAGTTCTTTTCTTATGAGCTCTTCCACACAGTTCATAAACAGTCTCTGTAATCTTTGCAATATGCCCATGAGAAAGATAGATTATAGATAACTTTTATTATCAATTATAATACATTACTACAAAAAAGAAATAATTTTACTATAAGGACATATATTGTAACTTTTGTAATTTTTACCAAAAATATGATGCAAAACATTTTACCATAGTGAATCATTAAACAGCGTATTTATTTGTTTGCATACAAAGTAATAAATATAAATATGGAGAAAAAATACTTCACCTTTCTTTCAAATAATATTTTCCTTAAACATTCAAGGTCAAGGACTGTTTCGAGTAAAGAGCTTTCAAATCTAACAGTAATTTGTAGGTGATGAAATCAAATAGTACATGCTAGTGCCCAAAGCTTAATTGATTTATGGCTTTCCTAAAATTCTCTCACTTTTTTATTTTCTTTTATTTTCTCATATTAAAGGTAAAGCACGAACTTACTGTCATTGTGTTGCTTTTTGTTTTTCTAAGAAATCAATTATTTTTGCTTTATGTGTTTGATGGACAAGAGAAACAGATTATTTAATGGGTCTGAACCTTGCCTTCTTCTTGCCTCACTTTGATGCCTCTCACATTGCCTCTTTGGCTCTATGCCTTAAGTTCATGAACAGAAAGGGGGAAAGTCTTTGACCATATGGTTTGTGGTTCTGATACACACGGGTTTCTTCAACACAGAAAACAAAACAGAATGACTTCGGCTTTTGACCTCTTAAATTCCTCTGGGCAGTTGGTAAGTGTGAAACTTACCAACCACTTTTCATTTTCTTTTTATTGAATGTCAATTAAAATAGACTTCAATAATATTAATAATAAAGATATACACTTTTCACACCAGTTAGATGGAATGTATCAAAAGTCCTTTCTTATTTGTTAGAACAATAATATGAATTATGTCCTCTCTTCTGGCTAAAGGGACTATGCTAGAGATAGAGTGGTGAATGAGTGAATACGTTAAATTATACTTAAGACAAGAAAGAAAGACAATTAGGCATTGGTATTAAGTAGTAGTAACTGAAGGAGAGAAAGCCTAGGATTGGGTATCCTATAAAGGGGGATTTTTTAAAATATTAAAGATACCGAGAACTTGATGTTAAAGGAAAATATTTATTTTAGCTACTAACAGTGTTTAATACATTTTTACCCTGAAGGATGCCTTAATAATTACATGATTTAACATTCCCTAGTATCAGAGATGGTTCCTGGTATGGCGCTGTGGGCTAATGCATCAGACTTCAAAGTCATTTGAACTGCAAGGTTGGTGGTTCAAGCTCACCAGCTGCTCCTTGGAAACACTATACAGGGTCACTATAGGTCTGAATTGACTCGACGGCACTTAACAACAATAACAACAATATCAGAGATAAATGCCAGACCCCAAATACATTAAATGACTTGCCCAAGTTTTCACTAAATTTGTGCCCAAGCCATGGTGTCATTACAGGGAGTAGAAGCTCTCTCTCCAAAAAATGTAGACAGTACATCCAACTATGTGCAAAAGAGAGCAATAGTCTAGGATGTGATTCATCCTCTTAGATGTTGGATCTTAATTATATATCAAATATTTGTTAAGTACATTTGGAGTAGAATCTTGTTAGTGTATGCGATCTATCACTGTTACCCTTGAAACATTTAGATACAGGATAATAAATGCCAGCTTGGTTTTCGTTAATTTAATGGCATTATGTTATCTCCCAGCCAAATGAACTTCTCCAGAATGCATTACAAAAAGCTTTAGAAGATGTGGAAGCGAAGCATAAGGCTCTTAAAGAGAAACAGAGGTAAGACAGATTTCTGTTTGCAAGAATACTCTGTGTTAGGTTAAAACATATTTAGCTCTCTGAGTAGACAGATTTTCTTGTTATTTTGATAATATCTCTTTCTTAACTTGCAACTTCTTAAAATTTTATTGTGGTCAGTATTCCTCAATCAGTATATCAATGTAAAGTATTTATACAGTCTGTATTTGTATGTATACATTCTGTAAAACTTGTGAATATAAAGTTAAAAATGAATTCATCATCTAGTTATTTGGGCTGGATAAAGATTTCTACATGAAATAACCTGCCTGGAGAATCAGCTGACAGTTTCACTTTCCCTTCATGTCCTTTACCATATAAACCCTTTACAGTGGGTCCCGATTTCCTTCCTCTTCTAGTAATTTAACATTCAAGATGGAAAATCATGTTGGAAGTAGATGTCTCGATCATTTATAGTTAACAAAACATAAGTAGTAAGCCTATGAAATAAAACAAAACATTTGCATCTGTAAATTGATTGGCTCTCCAGTTCTGGTGTTAAACAAGTCAAACTAAAAATAATCATTGCTGCTCTAATAAAGTCAGACTCTAAAAGCTATGTTATAATTTTGAGAAGCTAGGGCCATATGATTGGCTGTTAGAGGCATATGCTAGGATATCAATATTAGTTTTGTGAACCATGCAATTCCATATAACCATGACTTTCTTCAAAACTTAAAATTTAAATGCTGTTTATGTGTGTATCAAAATAAATATTGAAAAAAGGGCATACACATTTTAATTGACTAAGCAAAGGCCTCCCTAAAGTCTTCAGGAAGAAGAATCTTATTGAGGATGTGTTTGCAATCATAATGACATGTATAAAAGATGACCAACCTTTATTTTATAAATAATAATTCTAGTTGGCATGTACTCTTTTTAAAAAGCAAAATGCTTTTGTTTTAAAGAAAATTGAAAATTCTTGTTGTTAAGTGCCATTCATTTGGTTCCGACTCATAGTGACCATGTGCTTTGTACAGTGTTTCCATGGTACAGCTGGTGGGTTTGAATTTCCGACCTTGTGGTTTGCAGTCCACACCAGGAATCCATCTGTTTAATATGGTAGAATGATTATATAAAATCATCTAACACTCTTGTCTAGAACCCCTTACACATTCAATACTCTGTTGAAGGGCTGGAATAGAATTATTGAGTAGAGAATTTTGAGGAAAGGTTTGATTCGTATATATTTAGCCCTAGGTATGCTAGAGAAACCTTGGTGGTATTTGAGTTAAGCATTGTGCTTCTAACTGCAAGATAAGCAGTTCAAACCTACCATCTGCTTCTTGGGAGAAATATGAAGTTATCTGCTCCTATAAAGATTTACAGTCACAGAAATCCTAAGGAGCAGTTCAACTCTCCTAAGTGTCTCTATGAGTCAGAATCTACCTGATGACAGTAGGATATGTGTACTGGGTTTAATAAGCAAGCAGTGTCTTAATCTATGCCAGTAACTTCCTAAGAAAACATTAATATATTCTGTATATTGTATCCCTATAGAAAAATTGATAGAAATTTATTAATGTTCACTGATTCCTTTAATGTTATATTCCATCAGTCCAATAATTGTATTATGACAGTTGTACTAGCATATGGTCATAAGCTTCAAAGGAAAAGCCATATTTAGGGATGATAGTGACTCTAGGATGGGTGGAATATTTGATGCCATTTTTAGCTGGGGAAAGAAAAAACATTTGTTACGCACCCAGTCAGTTCTGGATATATATTTAACATTATCTTTTTTAGTCCTCACATTATCTTAAGTACGTTGCTGCTGTTAGTTGTCGTTAAGTTGGTTTTGACTCCTGGTGACTCCAAGTGTACACAGTAAAACTATTATATAGGATTTTCAAGACCATAACTCTTTGGAAGTAAATCACCAAGCCTGTCTACTGAGTGGTAGGTGACTGAGTGGTTTTGAACCTCAAACCTTTCAATTATTGGCCCAGCCCTTAGCCATTTGTGTCACTCAGGAACTCCTTCCCAGGTAGATGTTGTTATTGTTATTAAGTGCTGTTGAGTCAGTTCCAACTCATAGTGACTCTGTATAGGGTTTCTGGGGCTATAATTATTTTCAGGAGCAAAAAGCCTCATCTTTTTCTCATAGAGAGGCTGGTGGGCTTAAACCACCAACCTTGTGGCTCACAGTATACAGTGCTTATCCTACAGTGCTACCATGTTTCCTTCCCAAGCACATAGTTGTTGTTGTTAAGTGCTATTGAGTGAATTGTGATGCATAGTGATGACCCTATATAAGGTTCCCAAGGAGAAACTGGTAGGTTTGAACCACTGACCTGAAGTAGCACTCCAGTGCTTATCTTACAGTGCCACACCAAGACTCAGCTAGATAGAGAGGTGTTCTCATTTTTCTGATAAGATTGAGAAAAGTTAAGAGACTAACCCTAAGTCACCTGGCTAACATGAAGATATTTGACACTGGATTTGTCTTTCTGGTTCATATATGCAGGCAGTTTTCACAGCTCTAAGCAGCCTCTTGTGATTTTAGTTGTTTCTATTATATGCTGCTATATCTCAAATTCTATGTTTGTACTTTTAAGAGCAAAGTCATACAAAGCCTAGCAGGACAGTGTCAGAATAACTGGAGTTCATATCTGTTGCCCTTGAAAACTAGCTTTATTAAGTTTTGAGTACTGTGGGATAATGCACTGGACCACAAGGTCGGTTTGAACTGCAAGGTCGGTGGCTCAAATTCACCAGTCACTCCTTGGAAACCCCATACAGGGTTGCTATGAGTTAGAAATGACTCAACGGCACTTAATAACAACAACCTTTGATTTTGGAAAAGGTTAGAAAGATAACTTAAAATATCTTTTGATAGATTCTGAACTGTATAGAATGTTTAGAAACTCCAGATACGTTGAAGGTGAGAAATTATATCGAGTAGTAGGAACAGTCAAATTTTGAAATAGTCAAGGCTTCATTCATTTCTTCAAAGTAATGCATTTTTCAGGTTGGATTAATTAACATTTTTTAATTTTGTTGGCATTTACAAGTTCTTGTACATTAAAATTGGCAAACTTGTGTTTGAATCAGTGAGTGCTTTTGTTTGGCTGATATAGTTACTGTTCGTCATGACTATGCAGAGTATTTGGCTATACAGAATTACTGCATGTACTCACTAGATTTTTCAAAAGGTGTGGATAATTTATAGATCATTACTTTGATGTTTGTTTTCTGGGTTTATTAGCCATTATGTAACTGTATATTATTATCTAATAAAAAAAAATTTCCTCCCTAAATTTACTATAGAGAATTTAAAAAAGAAAAAACTCTCCCCTTGTTCTTTGGAGTAAGCATAGAAAATCGAAGCCAAGCTGGAATGTTCATTTACAGTAATTGCCGGTTGATCAAAATGCATGAGAAAGTGGGGCCCCAGTTGAAACTCAAGTCATTGTAAGTATGTTTATATTTTCAGATGCAGACACAGGAAAGAGAAAGGTTACACTAAGATTCAGTGTGTGGAACTAGATGAATGATTAATTGTAATGGAATCATGTGTCATACTCTATCCCCCTTCCTGTCATCGCACAGGCATTAATTTGTCTATAGTATCCTCTGAGCTGCATGCATGCTCTAAGGACAAAATGGATTTTTGAAAAATTTTGCAATGCATTTCCTGAGCAACTTGATGCTTTACCAATCTGTGTGCTATCAATTTGTGTTAAATTTTTAATATTTTTGACAATTAACAAATAATACAAGCATATTACGGGAATTTTCATAAAGAAAGACAGGAAAGATTCATAGTCTTGTAGAATAACCCTGCTAGTATTTTCTACAACCCCTACTTACATGAACCCTTGTCAGTTACCTGCATGAGCATTTGTTATTAACACTCTTCAACCTATTTGGATTCTAGAGTAATAGATTCTGGTGTATACCCAGTCTGAAACATCACAAACTGCTTTCATGAATTATATAGGACTTGAAAAGATACTTTGAAAAAGCACAATGAGGCAGACAAGATACCATAACCAGCAGATTGGCTAAGGGGAACATTTTCCATTTTGGTTCTTTAATCTTCAGGAATTAGTAGTTTATTCATATGTTCATTCAAGTAGAATTTATTTGGAAAAATAAACATTAGGAGTGGTACTGCCAGTGAGGTAACTTCTGATGCTACCCCTATCCCAATGGACATTCTCCAGAACCAGACCGTACAGAATTCTTACTGGTGTTTATTATCAATTTTAATCAGAGAATAATGAAATGAATATTATTGTAATTTGCTTAGATACAATACTTCTTAGAGTATATGAATGTTGTTGTTGTTAGGTGCCATTGAGTCAGTACTGACTCATAGCAACCCTATGCACAACAGAATGAAACAGTGTCCAGTACTGGACCAACCTCACAATTGTTGCC